TTCTCCGTTGCGTGTCGCTTCGCGTTGAATTTTCGTCGACGTTAAGCCTAACGAAGACTATTGTATCGTAAAAAATTATTTTTTTATTTTGTACAAACAAAATAAATATATTGAAAAATATAAAAACAATAAAAAATTATACTTCATATGTTAATTTAGTAGCCCAAGACATAGACAAAGATTGAAGCGCCACAGCACTGGCGAAAATTTAAATTTGCCAACTGGAATTCTTTCGGATGATTGACTTTCGGAAAATCAATGCTCTACTGTAGTTTATAATTAGGATTTTCTCAAATGCACTTAAATAGTTAAATAAATTAAAAACAAGGATTAGAATATCACCATTTTTATATTTGAAACAATAATCAAAGCTTATTACACCAAATTAAACCATTAGAATAAGAATTTAGAACAAATAATTTTATCCACGTGCATCTTTTCTATTTTATATGTTTATTAACAAAACAAATTTTTCTTTTTATATACCATAAATAAGATTTTATCAAATATGAAAGAAATAGAGAAAATTTCAAATAAAATACTTTTTACCTTATTTAACTTAGACGAAAACAAGTCAACAATTACATTGTAATTTACCTTTTATATAACTCTTCAAATTCTTTACCCCAACTGTCAAATAATCCAGAACATTCATGAGGACACATCAACGACCACATATCATCAGCTTCAACTCTTTGCATAAATAAATCGGGAATCCAAAGTGCATAAAATAAATCACGAGCACGACATTCTTCCTTTCCGGTATTTTTTTTTAAATCAAGAAATTCAAAAATATCTGCATGCCACGGTTCCAGATATATAGCAAAGGCACCGGGTCTCTGTTTAAAGAAATTAATTTTTTTTATATTTATTAATTTGAACAAATCTTATTGAAAGTAATTATATAGAAAGAGCAGTTATTTTTAATTGTATTTTGAATTTATTTAATTTAAAATATATTGTCTCCACTTCAATTAGTCGTAACTTTCCCCTGAACATAATATTTTTCCTTTAACAATAGTCAATCTATTTAATATCTTTCAGGGAAAAATTTTTGAATTGAAATAAGATGACTTCCAGTTTGCATTGAAAGTTCTTATATAGTTAATTGGGGCCTCCCGCCCCTAAGGTTTCCATAGCTGGTCTTTGCTTTCATCTATTTAACTTCATTCTCGAGATTAAGGAAAAACAGATGGACAGACAGACGACAGTGGGAATTTATAAATCTACAATTTTTTCAAATTGTAGCCCAAAACGTTTTATAATGAACAACAGTTAATTGCCATTAAAAAAGTCAACATAAAGAAGTAAAAAGTTAATTATTCCAAAAATCAACAACAAAGAAGACTAACAAGAACGTCTGGATCTCCATTTTAATGTTAGAACATGCCTGGTAGGCCAGATGGCCAAGATGGATAAGATGTAAGCCTACTGGACCAGGGATCCAAAAACAAATCCAGGCAGGTAAAAAAACCCCAGGAATCTTTCAAGGGTGATCTGAACTTGATATGTTGGACTCTCTTCCTCATCACCCAGCTATGGGCACTAAAAGGGCCTTTTTCTGGCCCTTTTATTGCCCATAAGATAAAAAAACTAAACAAAACACACCTCTTACAACATACATCTTTTGAATGTTTCTATTCCAGGCTCCTTTTTTTAACTACAGTTAAAATGAAGGACAATTTTAGATTAAAAATTTTCCAAGTAAAAATACAAAACACCCACAGCCATTTATTGTAGTTAAGTTGCCAGTTTTTGTATTCTCTCCCAACAATTATCCTCCCTCTTTTTCTTTTTAAATTACAATAAACCATTTATTTTACACAAGCATTTTTTGTTTTAAATCATAAAATTAAATACAAATTAAAATCTTAAATTATTTTACATAATGACTAAGCCTTACAATATTGTTATTACCCTCTTTTGATATTATAAATACTGTATATCTGCACAGATAAGACAATAGTTGAATCATAAAAAAAGGCCCCCAAAATCCAGGCCGTCTTATAGAACAGAAAAAAAAAAAAAAAAAAAAAAAAAAAAAAAAAAAAAAAAAAAAAAAAAAAAAAAAAAAAAAAAAAAAAAAAAAAAAAAAAAAAAAAAAAAAAAAAAAAAAAAAAAAAAAAAAAAAAAAAAAAAAAAAAAAAAAAAAAAAAAAAAAAAAAAAAAAAAAAAAAAAAAAAAAAAAAAAAAAAAAAAAAAAAAAAAAAAAAAAAAAAAAAAAAAAAAAAAAAAAAAAAAAAAAAAAAAAAAAAAAAAAAAAAAAAAAAAAAAAAAAAAAAAAAAAAAAAAAAAAAAAAAAAAAAAAAAAAAAAAAAAAAAAAAAAAAAAAAAAAAAAAAAAAAAAAAAAAAAAAAAAAAAAAAAAAAAAAAAAAAAAAAAAAAAAAAAAAAAAAAAAAAAAAAAAAAAAAAAAAAAAAAAAAAAAAAAAAAAAAAAAAAAAAAAAAAAAAAAAAAAANTGTCGCTTCGCGTTGAATTTTCGTCGACGTTAAGCCTAACGAAGACTATTGTATCGTAAAAAATTATTTTTTTATTTTGTACAAACAAAATAAATATATTGAAAAATATAAAAACAATAAAAAATTATACTTCATATGTTAATTTAGTAGCCCAAGACATAGACAAAGATTGAAGCGCCACAGCACTGGCGAAAATTTAAATTTGCCAACTGGAATTCTTTCGGATGATTGACTTTCGGAAAATCAATGCTCTACTGTAGTTTATAATTAGGATTTTCTCAAATGCACTTAAATAGTTAAATAAATTAAAAACAAGGATTAGAATATCACCATTTTTATATTTGAAACAATAATCAAAGCTTATTACACCAAATTAAACCATTAGAATAAGAATTTAGAACAAATAATTTTATCCACGTGCATCTTTTCTATTTTATATGTTTATTAACAAAACAAATTTTTCTTTTTATATACCATAAATAAGATTTTATCAAATATGAAAGAAATAGAGAAAATTTCAAATAAAATACTTTTTACCTTATTTAACTTAGACGAAAACAAGTCAACAATTACATTGTAATTTACCTTTTATATAACTCTTCAAATTCTTTACCCCAACTGTCAAATAATCCAGAACATTCATGAGGACACATCAACGACCACATATCATCAGCTTCAACTCTTTGCATAAATAAATCGGGAATCCAAAGTGCATAAAATAAATCACGAGCACGACATTCTTCCTTTCCGGTATTTTTTTTTAAATCAAGAAATTCAAAAATATCTGCATGCCACGGTTCCAGATATATAGCAAAGGCACCGGGTCTCTGTTTAAAGAAATTAATTTTTTTTATATTTATTAATTTGAACAAATCTTATTGAAAGTAATTATATAGAAAGAGCAGTTATTTTTAATTGTATTTTGAATTTATTTAATTTAAAATATATTGTCTCCACTTCAATTAGTCGTAACTTTCCCCTGAACATAATATTTTTCCTTTAACAATAGTCAATCTATTTAATATCTTTCAGGGAAAAATTTTTGAATTGAAATAAGATGACTTCCAGTTTGCATTGAAAGTTCTTATATAGTTAATTGGGGCCTCCCGCCCCTAAGGTTTCCATAGCTGGTCTTTGCTTTCATCTATTTAACTTCATTCTCGAGATTAAGGAAAAACAGATGGACAGACAGACGACAGTGGGAATTTATAAATCTACAATTTTTTCAAATTGTAGCCCAAAACGTTTTATAATGAACAACAGTTAATTGCCATTAAAAAAGTCAACATAAAGAAGTAAAAAGTTAATTATTCCAAAAATCAACAACAAAGAAGACTAACAAGAACGTCTGGATCTCCATTTTAATGTTAGAACATGCCTGGTAGGCCAGATGGCCAAGATGGATAAGATGTAAGCCTACTGGACCAGGGATCCAAAAACAAATCCAGGCAGGTAAAAAAACCCCAGGAATCTTTCAAGGGTGATCTGAACTTGATATGTTGGACTCTCTTCCTCATCACCCAGCTATGGGCACTAAAAGGGCCTTTTTCTGGCCCTTTTAGTGCCCATAAGATAAAAAAACTAAACAAAACACACCTCTTACAACATACATCTTTTGAATGTTTCTATTCCAGGCTCCTTTTTTTAACTACAGTTAAAATGAAGGACAATTTTAGATTAAAAATTTTCCAAGTAAAAATACAAAACACCCACAGCCATTTATTGTAGTTAAGTTGCCAGTTTTTGTATTCTCTCCCAACAATTATCCTCCCTCTTTTTCTTTTTAAATTACAATAAACCATTTATTTTACACAAGCATTTTTTGTTTTAAATCATAAAATTAAATACAAATTAAAATCTTAAATTATTTTACATAATGACTAAGCCTTACAATATTGTTATTACCCTCTTTTGATATTATAAATACTGTATATCTGCACAGATAAGACAATAGTTGAATCATAAAAAAAGGCCCCCAAAATCCAGGCCGTCTTATAGAACAGAAAAAAAAAAAAAAAATTTAGATGAAATTTATATAAATTAAAACCATTATAAAAGCAGACAAACTGTAATTATTTACTAGTAGAGAGTAGGACATGTCCGCAAAATAGAATAGCCCATGCGATGTTTTTGTGAATAGTCAAGGTCACCCGAATGCCCTAATCAGTGAGAATGTTTGCAACAATAGCAAGGTAGTGCTATTGTTGCAAACATTCATTCGAAAAATTACGAATTGGACATAATTCCGCATATGCTATACAGTGTTATTATCCAGATGATGATCGCTCATCTAAACTAAATTCATAGGCTGTTGATAATTTGGGGTTATCTTACAGGATAGATATATGCTAAAACTATAAAACTTCAGTGAAAATTTATACCATGTCTTATCTGCGCAGATATATGGTATTTTTAATAATTAATACTACCAACAGTAGTAATAAATTAAAAATTACATTTACTGAGATACAGAATATTAGTCTTGCAATGAAATCATTCAATTTACATAATAAATTTTTGAAATTCAGTGTGCTAAGTATTATAAGGATACAAGTTGTTACACTTTCAATTAAAAAATTACAATTTAGTATTTGTATATAATAACTCAATGTAACTTACTTTATTTCCACCTTGATCAACATAACGTGCCATATTATTATAAACTCTTAGCATGGGTATCAGACCATTTGATATTCCATTTGTCTGTAAAAAATACTTATTAATTAATACTTTAAAAGTTTAATTTTTTAAAAATTAATTATATAAACCTTTAACAGTATAGTTCAAACTTCTAAACAGTATATACAATTCTAAAAAGTAATTAAAAATTTTTTCATAAAATATTTACAGTGCTTTTACATGCATTAAGTATTTTTAACAAGAAGTGATATCATTTTTTACAAAAAAGTATTACTTTACATGAAATGAAGGCATCTATAAATATTTAATCTTGTATAAAAGTGTTAAAATAAAATTGTTTCAAAAGGTTTGTTGCAATTTTTTTATATTAACACATTTCATTTATATTATACTATCCAACAATGTTCTGTTTTGAAAAACAAATAACTATGATACTCTGTCTTTCAAAGCAAGAACTGTCTACTGATATACTTGTAAAGATTATTATGTTGACTGCATTTTAACTAAACATCTATAGATTTCTTCATTAGCTATTTATCAAATAGTAATTTAATAATTTTCTCTCTTAAATTTTACAATACTCAAATATCATGAGTAAAGGATAATTAACTGACTAATGAGTAATAAAGCAATAACAAAAACTAATGATTATGATGATAAATTATTTAGTAGTCATAAAAACAGCATCAACTTATATTCTAAATTATAAATTCATCAAAACACGAAATGAATATCGATGAAAAAAGTCAAATCTGGCCTTAAATCTAAAATAAATTATAATATGCATACTCCTGCAATATAAGTTCCAGCCGCTCTAATACAATGAACATTTAATCCAATTCCTCCTGCAGCTTTAGAAATCAATGCACATCTTGTTAATGTTTCACAAATTCCTTCTATACTGTCATCTGTCATTGTTAAAAGAAAACAGCTGAAAAAAAATGCATTACATGATATTACAATTTGTTTATGGATAATTTTAGGTAATTCTATATTATATTTTATTTTGGATTTTTCATTAAATATAATGAATATAAAATGTAGCCTTCTGTATATTTTTTACACATGTTAATACAATTTAATAGATTTGGTTTTTCATGAAATACATTTATAAAACTTTAAATTCTACAGGATTAATCATTTATTTATTTATTTATTTGAAAAAGAAAAAAAATTATTATTCAAAACAATATCTCTTCCTCAATAAAATTATATTCAAATTAATTTAATTATTTGTAGCTAAATTTTATTTAAAGTCTTAATTTTAAAGTGGCAATATCAACAAAATCAAAAAATTTGAAAAATGTTATCTGTTATTAATAAAAAAGAAATCATTAATAAAGAACCAAGTTAATTGCATTATCATTTTGATTCAACAAAATTTAATAAAAGTTTTCTGAAAGAACTGCTAATAATCATCTAATAAATTAACAACTTAATTTTTTTCAATTTATATATAAATATAAGGTGTTCTGTAAGGAAATGGCAATACTTTTACTGTGTTCTAGAGATCCAGAAATGTCTTACAATATAGTTAAAAGCATTTCAATGAAAGAAGGAGTCAAAGTTACTCAAGATAGTGCTCTACAATACTGCAAAGAAAAAAAAACCCCAATCTCACTGCCCTTCAGCTGTACTGTACTAAAATGCCAAAAAAATGCAATCAAGCCTTACATTTTTGCAAACAACATAAGTTTCTGAAGGTATGATGATGAAGGGCATCAAGATTGAGATTATTTTACAGCATTTATCAGTGCTGCATGTTAAGAGATAGCTAGTCTGAACTTAACTCTTCCTAGTGCTAAAACAGTACAATTAAGAAAGGCTTCTTTTATTACTTTTTTAATTGATGACAATAAACAAAAATATAGTAGGTAATGTTAAAGGAACATTTAATATGCTTTTAAAAGTAAACATTAAAATTATTAAAAAGAACAAAATTCTTAATTTTTGTTATATTCATTAGTAAAAATATGGTTGCTTTACATTTATAAATTGAAACTGTAGGAGCTGCAACTAATAAAATTATATACAAAATAGAAATGCATCAGTAATATTCTATCAACTGATAATTAATATTTCATTTTTTAAATATATTGTACAATACTTTAGGTTTCAATGCATTATTGATGTATAAATTTAATAGTAGATTTGGAATTAAATAGATTCAAAAGTAAACAGAATTTTAAAAATAATTTGGACATATTTTATGTAATCAAATTTAACTAAAAATATTAATAAATTATTTTATAAAATTAGAGTCATAGAAGATAAATTTCAGATAATTTTATAAAACTTTATGTGAGGATATTAGTTGTTATTTAATAAAATTTATTAATTTTAAAAATAATATATAAATTCAATGACAACATAGATACCTCGACAATTGAGGTTTAGGTGTTCCAGCATTAAAAAGTGTGGGTGAAGCATGAGTAAACCATTTTTCAGATAATAATTTATATGTTTCAATTGCAGCATCAATGTCTTCTTTATGTATTCCGACGGATACTCGCATCAACATATGCTGTGGTCTTTCCGCAACTATTAAAATTTTATTATTTACATATAAAAATTTTTATTTACACCTTTATGAAAAAAATCTCAAAATAATATGAATTACATAAGATTTAGAGTGAATTTTAAAGTTTTCTATACTAATCTTTTATTCAACTTATATTTAGCATTATAAATAAAGAGTAATTTATGTTATAATTAATACATGCACTATTAATGTTATCATAATTATATACATATTATTTATTATGTAATATCACTAATTATATTTTCAGTAAAATTTTGTTACTTCTCCAATTAGTGTACAGTTTCAGGTATATACTGTTAGTCAAATCAAAACAATTTATAAGATTAAATTAATTAGCCCAATAAATACAACTATAATAAACTGAAGGGGTTATCACATCCAATTTATTATATCAATATTTATTGAACTAATTAATTTAATCTTAATTTACATTGAGGGCTAGAAGCATTAGAGAGGGTGCAGTCAAAGTTTTCATTGCAAAAATGTGAATGTCAGCACCACCATCCTGTAAGCCTTGAAGTTTGACAATGGCGTTTGGAACGTTGAGCATGATTCCACTGATGGTCCAAATGCCATTGTCAAACTTCTAGGCTTACAGGATGGCAGTGGTGAATGTCCGACATCCACATTTTCGCAATGAAAACTTCAGCCACGATCTCTCTAATATTTAATAATAATACAAAACAATTTATATTTTAAAATATTCATAATTATAGAATAAAAAAATTAAACTAGTAGCTCAGTTTTTTATTCTACTATTCCTCTTCTTATCAGTATTCAGTGTATTCTTCAAAGTGATTCATGCATTGCTAGTCGTTTTTTAAATGAAAATTATACTACGAACAATTTTGTTTTAACAGAATTGTTTGTAATATGATTTCATTTAAAAGCATTTTAGTAATATAAACTATTTTTATGATAATTAAAATTATTTCTTTTTAAATCTGAATGACCAGACATGCAACAAAGCAAGAACTAATTAAATCTGAAATTTAAAATATAATTTCAATATTAACAAAGGACTCTAAATTATAAATATCAAATTCTAAAATTTTTTTGTATTAAAGTGGGCTACTTTAACATTCAGAAATGTAAAATTACCTTTTCCATTTATTTTCAACAAATAGGATCTTTCCATTGTCTACAATAAAAAAAATTTTGAAAAAATTTATTTCTAAGTATACTGAAAATTTAAAATACTACAACTATTTATGATTATTATATTTCCAAAAATAAATGTTTCATCCAGAAATCATATATTCATCTCAGTTGTGAATTTTACTATTTCTATTAAACTTCAAATCAATAACACTATATTGCAGCATAAAATTTCTCACTTTAAACTGTATAATTTACTATATTATTTGAACCTTTTTTTTTATGCTTCCTATACTTTTCAGTAACTATTTTAAAAAAATGTAATACAGTAAAACCTGTGTATGGCAACCACACGTGGTTCCTTTCAAAAAGTAGTCTTTTAGACAGGTGGTCATCCAAAATAAGTGGTGCTGTAATACAGTATTTCCACATGTATTTTGCACATTTTTTTTAGCTATTTCTACTAAGCAAAACTTGAGGTGAGCAAAAATAAGTAAATTTTTTCAAGGATAGAACTCTATTGGTATTTTATTCTTATTGGATAACTTGATTAACAAAAGTTGTCGTGATTTTATAAGATGGATTTAATACCAATAATTTAAAAATTAATACAGTGTTTGCACTTTCTCGATTATAATGCACACTACCTTTTTCCAACTTAATTAATTCAACTTGTTCGCTCCTCAGTTATGTGTATTAAGTCATCAATATAGAAGCGTGTCATATCTCTCCACCACTTTGGTTCTGGTTTTTGTTAGTTTAATCTTATTTTAACTTTAAAAATACTGTATTTTTTAAAATACAGTAAGATCCCGCTTAACGCTGATTCGATATAGTGTGGTCTGCTCAAAGCCTAAAGAAGCTCAAAATTTACGCCAATTTAAATCATCATGGCATTTCATTGATTGTATATAATACAATTATTTGCAAACACAAACCAATCAGAAAAGATGGCAAAAAGGTGTACTTTCTTTAAATCTATGTTTGATTGGTGCAATTTTGGAAAAATATAACATCATGGATGCCATAGGAAATATCAACTTTGCTTGGCAAGAATTAACTGATAAATGCTCGAATGAAGTGTGGAAGAAGTTATGGCTGAAGGTATCCAAAAATTCTCAACGAGAAGAGCCTATTGCTGTATCGTTAGGTTGACCAAACTCAACCTAATCAATAAAGCAGGACTAGGAGATATAAACAAGCAAGATATTGAGGAGTTACAGCAGGTTTCTGGTGAGATCCTTACTGACAATGACCTTCAAGAACTGGCAGAACATGGAATTCATGTGGAACTGAAAAATAGAGATTCTGAAAACGAAGAACCCAAAAAATTTCTCTACAGATATCCTTAGTAAAAGTTTGATAAGATAACCAAAATCATTGATCAAATTGTAGCAAATGATCCAGATTTTGACAGGAGTGCCAAAGCAAAACAAGGCATTTTGGATGTGATCTTCTGCTACTGACATTTGCTTAAGGAAAGAAAAAAAAGCGACAATTGAAACTTGATGACTTTATTGCAAAAGAACAAGAATTTCAGAAAAGTCAGGACCTTAATCACAAAAAATGAACTTTACATTTCTGTGTGCACATGTTTATATGTTATTTAACATATCAAATTAATATAAAAATAACTTAAAATTAAAGTAAAATTTGTTTATTTTTGGTCACATGTTCCTCTATCCCCATTTACTCTATGATAAAATGACCTTGTTTAATGCCGTTTCACTTAGTGCTTTGTTGTCTAGGAACGTATCCCCCACGTTAAGCTGGGTCTTACTGTATTTAATATTTCCTTAAGTACAATAAGAAAAATTATTAATTAATAATAAAACGATTTTATTATTTCTTCTCATAATATGATTTCATTACATCAATGACAATTGCAGAATCAAAAAAGGAAGGTTGCATGCAAAGCTGATTTTTGAATTAAAGTATTTATTGTTTTTTTGAATATGTATTTTGCATTACACGATATTCTAATGACAGCAATTCACATTTCTTTCATTTTTCAGACATTTTTGAACAAACTGAAGTGAATTTTCTTTGTAGCTAGACTAATTCATTAATACCTGTACCTAATTTCAAGGATGGGAAAAGTGCCAAAGGAGGGTTTAAACAAGAATTTAGACTAATTCATTATATTAGGAAGGGGAAATGTTTTTGAGATGAGTTTGAAAAATAGTTTAGACCAGATATATTCATGGAAGTGGTCGCTTATTAGTTGTATGTTGTTTCGTACCAAAAATTCATGCCCGCGGTCACGTTACACAGGTGGTCATTTAATACAAGTAACTTATACAGACTATGTATAAACTATTCCGTGCCAGAAATTTTTGCATGTTTTGACAGGTGCCCATTGAATGCAGGTGGTCGCCTAAGCAGTTTTTACTGTACTAATAAAAAGTATTTTCTATATAGTTAACAAAATGGCTACATTATTGAATTTTGGAGCAAAAAAAAATTGATGCACTGATAAAATTCTTACTCTCTTCACAAAGAACAAAAATAATATGTTCCATTAAAATTAATGCTTTTTTTGACTATGTTTGCTGCTTACATAAAATATACATTTGCTATTTCACAATAAGATGTTACTTTTGGTAATAAGATCATATATGTTTTGTGTATAGAATATAGAACTTGCACTTTATTGCCACTATTTTTATTTTAAATTAAAGATAACTGTTTATCCACAAAATACTTAATGTTTACATAAAATTAAAAATTTCATTAGCTAATTTGCTGCACATATTACCATTAAACATTTCAACAGTAATTTCTATTAAATTTAATCTTGCAGGCAGATTGCTAGGCATAAACATGAGTTAAATGAATGCAAAATAAATTTAGTGATATAGTTATTAATATAATTTTTGTAATAAAAATGGAAGTACTGCATTCATTTATATAAATACAATTGTTCAATTAAAATTACAAGTATCAGTTCATTTTAGAACTTCAGTAGCAAAATTTAATGTTTACTTGCCAAAAGTTCTATCAATGCTTTATTTCTGTTGTATGGTAAAGCTTTTTAATATGAAATATAATTTATTTATTAGTCAAAAGTTACATTTAAAGTAACTAGCAAATGCTATTTTATACATTGCATATATCAATAATTACTCAAACTTTAGTATATAACTAACTAGCAAATGCTATTTTATACATTGCATATATCAATAATTACTCAAAATTTAAGTGAAAGTGAATTAATTATAAAATAGATTTTCATTTTCATTTGATTTTATAAGCTTTGATAGAATTGATATTGCTTGCAAGAATAAATAAATAATTCACTCCTGGTTCTTATCAGGTCTTTCCCAACAGGAAGTTTTGTATGAAGGGTGGGGTGGTTGTAAACTGCAAAATTCAAATACAATAGGCTAATATTTTGGTCATTAAGAGAAAAAAGTGGACACCAGTGAAATTTCATTGGTCAGTCTGTTATTTAAGCAACGNAGCTTTTTAATACAAAATATAATTTATTTATTAGTCAAAAGTTACATTTAAAGTAACTAGCAAATGCTATTTTATACATTGCATATATCAATAATTACTCAAAATTTAAGTGAAAGTGAATTAATTATAAAATAGATTTTCATTTTCATTTGATTTTATAAGCTTTGATAGAATTGATATTGCTTGCAAGAATAAATAAATAATTCACTCCTGGTTCTTATCAGGTCTTTCCCAACAGGAAGTTTTGTATGAAGGGTGGGGTGGTTGTAAACTGCAAAATTCAAATACAATAGGCTAATATTTTGGTCATTAAGAGAAAAAAGTGGACACCAGTGAAATTTCATTGGTCAGTCTGTTATTTAAGCAACGTACACAGTACTGAATGTATGATCATTGACATTTTAACCTGTGTCAGACTGTCAGTAGGTCCCTAGGATTAAGGTTGTAATGGAAAGGAGTTGTTTTTGGTTAGTAGTAATAGTGTTTGTTTATCTTAATAATCTGTATTCACACAGAATATAAAAGAAAATTAAGATCACAGACTTATCAAAGGATAGAGAGTTCATGAGAAAATAGGTTTGAGTTAAAAGTATCTACAATTTTGATTTAAAGAGACCATATTATACGGAAAACTATATACTGTGTCCAGAATCTGTAGACAGTATTATGTTAACACAGTTTGACTTAGCAAGGTTTCACTTTATTATTTTTAAATATATAAACATAATTGCATTCTTAAGTATTTTAAAACTGTTTTTAAAATTCAATTCAAAGTTAAAATATTTTTAACACACATAAATAATTAACTATCTTGCTTTCAAATTCTCATTCATAGATACATATATTAGAAAATATAGTAATCATCATGTTTTACATAAAGATTGTTGTCAGCAAATACTGTAAAATAAAATGCAGTCTAAATTTACATTTAACTCCATGTAGTCCTAGACAACTGCCTAGATATTCATACAATTATTTAAAATGAACACACAAGTATTAAAATGTGCTTAATGCTCACCTCCCATTATTGTTTTAATTTTGTTACATAGGGTCTATTCAGAAATGCTTACATGCTTACTGCAAGGCATCATTCAAAAATGTTACCTATAAACTTCTGGTGACTTACCAGTTGCTTGCTACCAGACTCATTAATCTTCAAGAGTGGGTTAGAGTGTGACCAACCAAATACTAATGATGTCATTCACTGCTATCAACAAACTAATATGCAAGCATTTCTGAAAAGACCCACAGTGTCAAAAGTTTTAGGATAGCAATGCACATACACAACTTTCTTTCTTCATGCCCAAATTAGGAGCTTCTATTTTTGTTCCATCTTAATAACTTTTTCTCAAAGGCTGTAGTAATGGCTTTTAATTTTTATACTATCACTTTTGCTCCACAGTGTATTTTATAATAAAAATAATCAATGTATGCATTAATAAACAGAATTATCCTTAGGGATAATTCTGTCTATTAATGCATACATTAATGCATATATCAAAAGTAAAAATAACCATTCACCATCCATCAAAACATGAATTTGTATATATCAATTCTATGTAAAACAAGATCCTAGTGTATAAAAGCATCCATAAAGACAAACTCCAGAATTATTCTAAAAAATAAACTAAATATAATAAACTTAAAATAAACTAAATATAAAATGTTATCAAATCATTAATAGCAAAGTTTTCTGATGAAAATAAATAATAATACCTCAGCATTATTCATGACAATGTTATAAACATCTTCAGCAATCATCGGGGATAATTTTCCTGTTCGTTCATTCACCATTTTATATAAATCCTCAATGACTTCTGAAATAATAATTAAACTATTTGCATCAGTCACTTAGAAATTTGTATTAAAAAATTATTATTTAGAATAAATTATTATATCAACATAATTATTATATTACAGCAAAGTAACATGTATACACACTATTAGTTACTATCTAGGATTTTTAATTAAAAAAAAAAAAATTATATATTCAATTACTAATCTAAAACATGAAGCATATTGAAAATTACAGTAACTGATTTTTAAAAATTATAAGATATTTGGAATATGCATTTAATGAAATGCAACTAGAAGAGTATCATTCTTTCAAATTGATGTAAACATTTTGAAAGAATATTAAGCTTGTGTAAGAATTAACCTTCCAATGTTGTAAACACTATCAACATGATAATGACACTCATCCTTTCCCTCATTCTAATGAGAAACAACTAATAAAACTATATGACTTGTCACATAGAACAAAAAGTCCTTTAAAGTCCAAAGATGGAAGACAAAAAGACCAAAAATGGTTGGCAATGCCTGCTTTACACAAATAAATGTACTGTGAAGTATATGTGCAATGGTTTAAGCATATAAAATTCCTCATGCTTTCTCGCATGAGGAATTTTAAATATGGAAATATGATATATTGAAATTTAGAATGAGATTCTTAAAGTTAGACATTATATAATCAATTTTCTTATGATGTGAGTGTTAGAAACATTTATACACAAAAAGATATAACATTTTTAAGTTAACTGTAAATTTTCTTGTTTTGATGTGTTGTTTTTAAACTACTAGTAGAAGAGAATAGTTGTGATTATAATCATTTTATCCATCTGCTACTTATCCTTGACATCAAATCAAATATTAAAATAAATCTTCAAATCTAGCAAATGCAAGTTATACAGTACAACTAAATCAATAATGAATGATAACACAAATTATGCACATGTATTCTGTCTGGGTAAGAAATCACAAATGTCTAATCCTTTGGAATAGCAGAAAATCTTGGGCAATTATTTTATTTTTGATTCTGATAAGTAAAACTGAATCAATTTCTTTGTTTTAAAACAATTTTTCCAGTATAAATAATCACTGATTTGAAAACAATACATATTTTTATCATATAATGTAAAAACTACTCACCACTAAAGACTGATTTTGTTTCCTTATGAAGATTGGAAATAGCAATTCGAGCTGCTAATGCAGCATAATCAGGATGTTTTGTTGTCATTGTTGCAGCAGTTTCTGCAACTAAATTATCAATCTCACATGTTTTTATTCCAGGATAAAGGCCTTCAACAACTTTAGTTGTAATGGATGACTATAAAAGAAGATAATTACTATTAAAATTTCATAATTTAAAATTATGAAAAAATAAATAAATTTATAGTCTTCTTGAAGGTCATACTAATTTTAATATTTAAATTTTAAGTTTTTAAAATATTTAATACAATATGTAATATTTTTCAAAATAATTTAATAAAATTGATACAAATACATTACAATTAAAATTATATGCTACCTCCAAAAGTGTAAACACAACAATTAAATACAAGTAATGAACAATGGTGTGTGTACTTAGCCTTAACATAAAAGTGGCTATTGAGAAATTCCTCTAATATTGAAAATAACCTTAAAAATATTAAAAACTTTTAATGCTGATAATATTGAATGATATGAGTTTCAGAGTGGATCACTCACCTTCCATTCACTGTGAAACAAACATGATAATAGTTGGCTTTTAAATAGCTCTTTGAAAATCCTCATATAGAAAGGGGCATTTATTATTAGTTCACTTTAACCCGATTATAAAAATGAAACAATATTGATAATCTCAAATTAAATAGCAGATCTGCAGAAAGTCCATTTAGTTAATTCCTTCCTTTCAGAAGGAAGGAATAAACTTACCAGTTATTGTTATACAGAACTCATTAATTACCTATTGCAGTATTACATTTAGCATTTAATTGTTGTCTGGCACCATTAGCAAGTGTGAGTGATGTGGCCAGTTTTACCTGTCCATTCCTGGTCACATGAAGTTAGTGTTGAAAGTTGATCATTAATGGTTAAGTACTGTAGCTTTCAACTTTTGTTTTTTAAATGAAAATGAATGACAAAAAATTAATTTTATTGATTATTTATTGAATTGTATAAGATGAGCCACAAGAATTATAATGATAATTACAAGAAAGAAAAGATAGGAAATAAGATTGGAAAAACTTTAATACTAATATCAATTTTTAAATTGTACATTTAAATTTTAAAACTGTAGGCTTTTATTACACGAAATCTGTCATGAAGAATATCAGTTTATAAAGTTATGTATTTTCTTAAAGCAGAATTAATTATAAATATTACTTTATGCATTTCATTGAATTGTTTTCCCAGCTTAGAATTGAAAAATTTCCAAATTAAAAAATATTAAACTTGTATGATTAATTACATCATATAATTATTATATTACTGCTAGCTGAAGCATTTTTAATCCTAAATAATTATTATTGTATAAAAACTGATTAGTTTTTTGCACTGTGTTTGGTAAAAAGCTGAAGATTAATCTATATCAGGGGTGGGCAAGCAAGAGTTCAGTGGGAGCTGAAATGTAGGTTTTGCAAAATGCATGGGAGCCGCAGTTCTGTACATTTTTATTCTGTACTGCTGTTCTCTACCGTGATTTTATTATATAATATAAATAATGATATAAAATAATGATATAAAATAAATATTTANCATCTTTTTATAATTGCTGAATTATTAAAATTAAAAATTAAACACTATTACATAAAAGTAGTATATCCTGTTATTAATCCACAACTGTAAAATTATATGGCTTCAGAACAATGAAAAAAGCCATTTCAAAATGGTTCTGGTGTATTTTGTTATTAAAGATTGCAGCATTACTTCTTGCCACCTGCAGATGGCTATGATTGGTCATCCATATTCAGCAAACGAGATCAACAACACAGTTAAGGAAACAAATTCCCTGACTTTTTGACAATTTTCGACAAATTCCCTGACTTTTTCCGAACACTGATGAAAATCCTTGACTTTCCAGGTGCATAGGAACCCTGTATTTATTAATACTAGATAGAAAGTTAATTAAAACTCTGGTTTTTGCAATGTATGTCATTTCTCACAAATATACAAACAGATAATTGTTGGTCTGGTGGGTCAGTTGCTTGTCATCAACCAACCTTTCACTAAACATGGAATCAACTTTAATTCGTAATTGGAATTTAAAATTGGCATATAACACATCCCTCCACATAATCTACACCACCTCTTAAATTATCTTTCAAACACAGATAAGCTGTGGGTTATCTGTGTTTAAAAGATAAATTTAAAATGAGATACAGATTATGTGGAGGCATGGGTTATTATACAGTAAAGCATCGTTTATCCAGAAGTCAATTATCTGAAAGAATTCCAGTCGGCAAATTTAAATTTTCACCAGTGCTGTGGCGCTGCAATCTTTGGCTATGTCTTGGACTACTCAAATATTTTACGTTTTTGATACTAAATTAACTTTAAAGTATAATTTTTTATTGTTTTTATATTTTCCAATATATTTATTTTGTTTGTACAAAATAAAAAAATAATTTTTTATGATACAATAGTCTTTGTTAGGCTTAACATTGACAAAAATTCAACGTGAAGCGACAGACGCAATGGAGAAAAATTTCAACATGGGATAGGTTAATTAATATATTTTTTCGTACATAATCGGTTATCCGAAATATCGATTTTCCGAACAACCCCAGTCCCCAATTGATTCGGATAAACGACGCTCTACTGTAATATATATATTACGAATAGAATTTGAAAAGTTATGACAATTTAAAAAATATAATTTACGATTTATTTAATCTATCTGCTGAACAAAACATATTTAAATATCTTAAATTAGATATAGATGTAAATAAATAATTAACATTAATAAAACTAGTAAAAACTAGTAAATAGCCAGGTTAATTATTATATTTAGAATTTTCACAAGAAGTTATGAGAAGAAAAGACAGGGTTTCATCATTCTTCATCCTATATTCTTTCCATACTTCAAAAGCAGTCTTACAGTGGAGATGAGCAACAGTCTTAAAAGACTGTTTGATCCTGAGGTGAGAATAGGATGTAGGATGAAGAAACCCTGTGTTTTCTTCTGTTAACTTCTTGTGAAAAATTTTCTTTTTTAATTTTCTTGTAAATTTTAAATAAATGAGCTTATATTTAAAATGCTGATGCACTTCTACTTATTCTAATATCAACAAGTTCTGCAATTATTTTTGTTCCATAAAGTTCAATGTATTTGTAATCAGAAAATTTGGGTTGAAGCACTTCAGATTTTGTTCCTCCCCACTTATACACAGGGGCGCCGCTAGCTGTTTGAACGCCCGTGTGCAATACCGATTATGCCGCCCCCTGTTTAACTACGACTACCTACGCTGAGCTTGCCAGAAAGGCTCTTTAGTGTTGTCTCATAAGGGTGTGAAAAAAGAAAAGAAATACTTTACAAAGAAAAACTATTTATTATTACTAAGTTATTTTTGTTTACTTAAGTGTAAAACCATATAAATATTTATCTACAGAAATTGAACTCTTCTTGCCTTTATGTTTGCGAAATCTGCTATCAATTTTCTTGTATCCAAGCTGTCTAAGATTTCGTGTTCAATTGAAACTATAGCTAAATTACTTAGTCTTTGCTGGTACATTGTTGATCTTAAATAGTTTTTTATAATTTTTAACTTTGAAAAGGACCTTTCACCAAATGCAACTGAAACCGGCAATGTAAGTAATATTCTTAGTGCTATTGCTGTGTTCGGAAATGTTGAAATTAAGTCATTAGTAAAAAGATATTGTAATAGGGTTTGTGGATCATTAGACTGGTTTTCTGGAAAATGCAACTTTAAAGTACAGATTTCAATCATACAAATCAATACCGTCAATGTCTGTTTCACTACTCGAATCGTCTTTAAGCTTCAGATTTAAATGCTAACCAAGTTAAAATATGATTAATTATACTTAGACCCATGTCAGAAAAATTATTAACAAAATAATTGCAATTTGATATGCGATAGAACTGTTCGAATGCGTACAAGTACAAATTGAGAAGGAAGCTCTGTGGGGATTCCCTATTATCGCCAGTCCTATCAACTTCTGTCATAGAGCACGACTATGAGTACTTGGCTTCCGGGCGCCACCGGATGATGTTTCGCATTGCATCTTAATTCTGATAAATGCCAATAGAGGCGCTTTAACGCTATAATATAAATAAGAATATAATAATTGCGCACCGGTCAGAATTTTTTTCTCCATGCAAAGACATTTCTTATGCTATAAGTAGGGTGGGTATTATGACAATGACTTTGAATATTACATAACCAATCGCTTGATTTGCTGCCCCCTGGACATGCCGCCCGCGTGCAGTGCACGCCTTGCACGCCCGCTTACGGCGGGCCTGCTTATACAATCTGCAAACTGAAAATGACAATAATAAAGCTATGGCCATACAGACAATAATAATCAAGTAAGAAGTTTGTAGTGATGTAAATCTCACAAATTGAAATCATGCACTAGTGAGAAATAGAATCTGACTCAAAACAGAAAATCTCACTGACAGATTTCTGTCACTGATTTTTATTGTGATTTGAAGTTCTCACTTTACACTGCTTGCAAATTAGCTTCTTACCTCATTTTCAGTGTGCACGCAATTAAACCATGGCTTCTGCATATATGAGCAAGGAAAGTGGCTTTCTTAGAGAGAAATTAATTAATTAATTAGTTAGCTTATCCTGAATATGAAATAAATAGGAGGATCACTAAAACAGAGGTAACAAATGTTGACATCCATTTTCTTTCTTCACACTCAAATGAGATGAAAAAATTTACATTACTGCATAACAATGTTAGAAAGAACAAAAAATGCTATAATCTGATTTCATTGCATTCAGTAGCTCACTAACATCACACATGGCCACAGCCTAATGATCAAAAACATTTATAATTAGCATTTTTTTCCCTTTCTTCCTTATATAAGTAGTCCATTTATGTTTTGATAACTTACTTAAAAAAGCATATAGTTTAAGATAAATATTAAAAATAACTTACAATGTCTACATATTTTGTATTTAGTCCAAAACATAGTCTTTCCATTCTAGAATTAATTTTTTCAGGTTTAAGATCATCTTTGTTTCCATCTATATTACAAATAGAAAAATTTTTGATTATTTTTTTTTTGTATATAAAAAAACACAAAAAATTGAAATAGTCGTATAATAAATATGTAAACAAATATATTTAACTCAAAATTTTAAATATGTTTAAATATAATTTGTGATACAGTAAAACCTTGCTAAGTTGAACTGCATTAACTCAAAGCTGTCTACAGGTTTATTGATACTGTACCCAGTACAGGGTTTTTCCCATATAATATGGTATTAAGTCAAAATTGTCAGTACTTTTAATTCAAACCTATTTTTCCATGTACCCTCTGCCCTTTTATAGGTTTCACAATCTTCATTTTCTCTTATATTCCACGTGAATTCAGACAATTAAGATCCATATACCAAACACATCATCACACTATTACAATCTTGTGTCAACATCATTTTACTGATACAGTATGTTACTGATGTTCTGACTGGGACATAAGGAAGAATCTTAATAACTCAATAAAAAGCACCATAAACTGTATTTCAATTTTGTAATCATTCTGTAAACAGATTCTTGAGAAACAGCATGATAACAGGAAATTTATGGCACAGAAAAATTTGAGAAAATCAGGTTAATTCAAAGTCAGGCTTTCTTTTTACTCCTTACACTTTGACTTAGCAAGATTTTACTGAATTAAAAAGTAAATCAATAATTTAAATATTAAAAATATACACATGTGATGCACCACCCCAAACACCTTTGGTGCTCCAATCATTTCACAATGCTTCATATCTGTTACAATTTATATTTTTTAAAATAATAGTAACTATGTATTAATTAAATAACTATAATATTTTAAAAAACTAATAAATAATAAGAAGATAGTAAGACAAAATGAAAATTTAAAATGACAAGAAGTAAATTAAAAAATTAAAAATACACAATGTTTTTTAAGATAATTGAACAAATGTAATGGAAGTCTACATGGTCAAACAGTAACGGCATCTGAATATCTGCTAACCGACATTCCAACTGACCTTATTGTATCTGAAGAAGGCCATTCAAAATGCCCGAAAACGTTTGTACTTAGTGATTAAACTGCTAGAAACAAAGTGTGAAAGGTTTTGTCTTACTTAAAAAACAAATAAAAATTGTCTTAAATGAAGTTATTCCTCACTTAAAAAGCAAATAATTAAATCAGTTAGGATATTCTATAAATTGCACTTACCGAAATCACATACGGAAATCACATCTTTCCGAAATCACATACGGAGGAAAGTGTTGTGTAGTATGTAACTGTCCATTAAGCTCATTTAATATTGCTTTTGCCTATTCTGTACAGTTACTTTTATATATACAGTTGTCCCTCTATAGTCCGACGTTTTTTAATCCGACATGCTCAGTAGTCCGACACACCTCCCGTCAAGGTACCCGTCCCTGTTACGTGTCTGCTTGCACAGAAGCATGTTGCGATGTGAATCTCCCCATCCAATTTTTACACAATGACACACATTTTGTGTGTTTTATGTGAGCAGTTCTGTTCGAACAGTTGGAGTAGAGAATATTGTAAGTTACTGCTAGCAAAACAATGCGAAATATGTAATTATTTTCGGTAATCCGGACACTTTTGGTAATCTGACACACCTTTGGTCCCATACCTGTCGGATTATCAAGGGACAACTGTACTTTCATACTTCTTAATAAAAAATTTACCTTTTTTTACCTTGAATAATTTGATAAACTAATGGAATTACCTTTACTTTACAAAAGCATTTTTAATTTGTTAAAATTTTAATATATAAATTTTCTTTCAAAATTATTGATAATGAAAAATTTTTATTAACAAAAAATCAGTAAATGAACTCATAAGTTTAATATGCTATATCTTTTTTACTTATATAATATCAATAATAGCTACATCTTTATAAATTAAAAATAATTTTTAAAATTATTACTTTTTTGGCAAGACTATAATATAAACAAGCAGTTATTTATTGTGACATCGTCACAATGTCAGGTTGCAATTTTCAATTTATTTAATTTAAAATATATGCTCTCCACCTCAAATTAGTAGTGGCTTGCCGCTGTACATCATACTTCTCCTTTACAAATAGAGTTGTGCCTGTCATCTATCTAACACCTTTCAGAAAAAATTTTTGAATTGAAATAAAATGACTTCTGGTTAGTAGAGGACGTTTGTGTATAGTTAATCAGGGTCTCCTAATCCCTAAGGTTTCCACATCTGGTCTTGTCTTTCATCTATCTAACTCCATTCTCAAGATTAAAGAAAGAGATGATGGATGGATGGACAACAGTGAAAATTTACAGGTTTACAATTTTTTCAAATTGCAACATTTTTCAAATCGAGTTTGTTCTAAATTTTTTATTGTATCTTTGTTTATGTTATGAAAAAAATAAATCGATGGCTGTTGACCCAGTAATCAACCAACAAGACAATTAAGTTTTCCCTCATTGATAGCCTGAAATGTTATTTACTAGATTCAAATGAAAGTGCTTAAATTTATACATAAAGATAAAAAGTATCATAGTTTTTGACAAATGAGGAAGGATAAGCAAGCTCAATAATAGGCATTTTGTAGAAAATATGCACCTGAAACACAGGCCCTCATTATCTTTTAAAAACACGACAATGCCTCCCTACATGGTCAACTACCAGAAGGGATGTTGTGCAATAATTTTTCCCATCACCACGAGTGAGGCAACCTGTTCTTACATGTCATTAAGAATGGGGGTCATCTTACAATGCTTCCTGTGAAGATGACTTGCCTAAACCTGCCCCAATGAACTAATTATGCTTGGAATTCAGCTTGCACAGTCAACTACTGGAAGTGGTTTGCAATAGGACTCCCATCCTATATGACTTTTTATATTAGCACACAATTTCTTTTAAATTCATATAGTCATAGGAGTCAATCCTTAAAGGACAGAAGGGACATATCTCTCCCTCATATTTTTAATCAACAAATTGTTCCACTTCACAGATATACACATTTTTATTTTATTATTACAAAAATTAGAAATAGAAACACGATAGGTACCTATATTTTTTATATCCACTCAAAATCCAATAATGAGAAATTTTAGGCTTGCCATCATTCTGGAAATAATCATTTGATTATAATCTCTTCTATCACTTAAATTATAATCCAAAGTTTCCTTATGATTAATATTTTTCTGAAGATTCTTTTCATTTTAAACTCTAATTGTAACAAATGGTGAAAACACATGCACGAGAGAGACATAAAAGTAAGGCGACCAGATTTTACCATTAGTGAAGCAGGACAAAATTGACGGGGAAGAGGGGAGTGGTAGTCTTGTTGAAAAAATCTTTTCTAGAGCAACAAAATTTTATCATCAAAGAATGCAAAAATTGTATTGTATTATATTTCTTTAAATTTCATCATATATTTTTTATATTTGTAAATTTTACATATGTACTATTATAAATTTTTAAAAACTCTTTATTCTTTCCCATATTTCTCAGTTGAGTGAACTTTTTTAGTAGATTGCTGTCGTCATTTAAAATAGCATGAAATTTTGCAAGAATGTGTTAAATTATATTTCACACATAATATGACTTTTAAAGTCTCAACACTTAATTGTAATTTATCAGATGTTCACACTTCATTTACGGTAGAAAAAATGCATTTAGTCGTTGCATTAGTTCCTGGTAAGGACAGCGTGTATTCCATAATTTTTAATGCATTATTGTATGGAACATAGTTTCTTTCAAAATGATGAAATATTTCTAACCATTTGTTCTGTGTTGATATTTTTTTCTGATGCCCAAGATTTAACTCTTTCCTTAATATATTTTTTAATAATGATTACTCATTAAAAATATTTTCGGAAATATTACTATCTGGAAAATGTTGACTAATGCAATCGAATGATTTTTGCACATCTTTCCAATTAAGTTCTTCGAAAATGTTCAATATCATTGTAATGTACCGTCCACTCTTCTAAATAGTCTATGCAGTTACCATAGAGCTTTTTGACTTGATTCATGAAATTTGAACAATTTATTGCAGTTCATTCTTCTAACTTAAACAATTACGGTAACGGAAGAAAATTATTTTCTAACTGCTCTTGACACTGAAATTTTAAGACAAGATGCGACAGACAAGAGCTCTGCGCCACGTAACATGCAACGAACAAAATGTTTGCTCGTTTGGACAGCCTGTGAACACATGCTTCTCTTGTTGTTGCAGCCGCTCGTCCCAAATCATTTTGTGTCGGTCTTTGCCATGAACACAATCAGGACATTCCAATTTTCAACACAAGTGTTGAGTGTTGAAGTCAACAATTTGAAGTCATCAATGACGTTCCAACTCGAGTACGAAGTGTTTAGTTCCCATAACTCCATTCTCAGCAAGATGGATTCCATTCAAATATCTTACCAATTACCCACGATTCATTGGAAAGTAGCAGTCAACATATCTGTTGAGTGCTGAGTGTGTTGAGTCAGCGCTACCTCAATGTTGAAAAAAGGAACGAATTTTAACGAACGTTGAGATCAGCGCTGAATCAGCGTTGAAAATTGGAATGTCCCGAAAGGGTTTTCGGCTCAGCATTCTTCTGATGATCACGCACACCTTGGTACTGAAAGATGTGATACTAAATGATCTTTACGAATCTTAAACGTAAGTTTATAACACATAATTGACAAAAACTTTATCTTTCCAAAACTCGAGACTTTTTAACAATTTGTCCCGCGGGGACAAAATGAGCGGGATAGTCTGGTCGTCTTACATAAAAGGGAAATTAATTCTATACACATACAATTCTTTAAAATCTTTAAGCTAATTAGTAAAACATAAACATAAAACTACAGAAAGAACATTCAATTTAACTCACTTCGCTTAGTAACGTAGGAAGACATTTTTCTGTATTATACGGTAAAACTTTCAGTTTCTGATCAAATTACCGCTCGAAAAATGCCGCCAAATTGATGCTAGAGAAGAATGAAGCAAAACGCGACCTCTACAATTATTGCACTTTATATATTAAAATACAAATTAAATTTATTTAATTAACTACATGTTTATTTTCCATAAAAATTCAAATTTTAAAATTATTCAATGATGTAACTATTTACTTACACAATATTTATTAGTTTAAATGATTTGTTTGTCGGCCGGATGGCTGTGGCCTCGACTGCGGATACGCGGCTTTTCGACTTTAGGCCGACCTCAGAAAATGGGCATTTTGGATCTTGGTGTTGGGCAATATCTCCATATACAATCTACAAACGAATTTCTTGTTTCTGATTAAATTTAATATCTATCAACGGTGGTAAAGAAGCGTATCCGTTCAAAAAGAGACTGGGTTGAAATATCGGCCGCAACTTCGCTTTTAACGGATATGTCTCCTTTTGAGAATACCTCAGCGAAACTTTATGTATATGCAATACTTCATCCTTTTTACAGATTTTTTATCTCACAAAGATTATACTTCTATCTTATCTCTCAAGACATGATTAACATTGATCACGCGAAGATACAATCTCAGTCTAGAATCTTTAGTATAATATAATCGGGCTCTTCTTCTATAGTAAATCAGTGAATTTCGTTTTTAAACGCGAAAACGAGTACGTCGGATAAAGAGAACTGAGGAGGTCGATTTTCCCTAAATTTTACACATGAAAACATTAAATTCAAAAGTTAACGAAGCTAAAAATGTCTATACAACAAACAGCATGAAGTTAAAATGATTTAGGTCTCTAAAGATGTAAAGCACGGGTTCCCAACCTATGGGTCGCAACCCAGAAGGGGGTCGCGACGGGTTTTCTGTGGGGTCGCCAACTTATGCAGTAAACTAAAACAAAATTTTCACTATAATGCAATATTTATTTTTAATGGTGTCTTAAAGTTTGAATAATTTCATATATTTTTAAAAAATTAAAATAAGTGTAATCTGGGTACGCTATTCTGTCACAGTTGGTTGAATCATGTGTTGAGAGTTTTGAGAGAAATAAATTAAATGTTGAGAATGACATGAGGTTGGCGTTAACAAAATCTCACCCGCGAATTTTGAGGCTGGTTAATAATACATGCAATTTCAACCATCTCATTAAATTAATTATTAAACATAATTTAAAATAAAATTATACTAAAAAATTAATTTCATTGTTTTTTAATTACCTTATTAAAAATACCTTTTTGAATTGTATCGGGGTCGCGGGTCACTTGGCTTTTATAAAAAGGGGGTCGTTACCCGAAAAAGGTTGAGAACCGTTGATGTAAAGAATGTAGCAATATACTGTGTACGATTTTGTAAATAAATTGAATTTTCTATTCCTCAAAATATTTTCTTTTCCTTTTTAATTTAGATCACTTATTCTAATGATCTCTCTCAAAATGAGTTCAGAACCATAAAGGGTAGCTGCACCAGTGAATGACCATATTGTCAGAAATTTGTTTAAAATAAGCGCCACGTCAACGAAAACTAATCAGAAGCGCCGAATTACTGAAAATCGACTACATTTTGAAAGTTTACTTTTAAAACATGACGCGTTTTTTCCTAATTTTGCTTTCTAAATGTCAAAAAATTTTTTGTTCAACTAACAAGTAAGACTGAATAGGGAGTTGCTTATAATTAATAATGCTATATACAGTTTTTCTAGATGTTGTTGTCAAAGATGTGGTGATACTCTTACTAAACTGCATATGTTTTGTTTATGCAGAGAGGCCCAAGATATACTAGAAAGTCTTCGCTGGGCTTGGCATTGGAGACATTGGGGGTAACTGGTCCGACTCGCTCGCTGTTGAGCTCCTTACACCTGGATGGGATAGGTTATGGACAGTGTCGAAGGCAGTGCGATGATAATTTGGCGGAATGTATGGACGAATGCGACCTGTCGATATATCACAGTAAATTTCGACATCACTATCAGGAAGTTTAAACTTCTTAAGTACAAGTGATGAATCATTTGAAGTCAGGAGAGACTGGAGCTCAGGATCTTGTTTGCGGGATCTTGCTTGCGGATCCAGCTTGCGGGAAAAGAACGCCAGTGGCTGGAAACCTTGTGCTGTGTAACTTGATGAAGGGTAGCGCCCACAGCAGAATCAGATGCATCAACGTGCAGTGCAAGGGTAGCACTTGGTGAAGGATGGTGTAGTAAGGTGGCTTCTGCTAATTGTGATTTACATGACTCAAATGCAGGATCGATCGAATTGTCAGTCCATTTAATTTCACGTTGGATGTTTCTCTTTGTTCCTTTAACAGCATCACAACATTTCCGATTAGCATGTAAAACAGCTGAAAAATACCACAGGATGTTATTCTTAATTCTATGCTTCACAGACTACATCTGTTAACAAAAAAGGATCTCTATGAAGAGCGCAACGTTTATTTTAAAAAATATCCAATCACCTTGCTTTATACATTGTAGTAAAAATAATTGTACAATTAATAAAAATAATATTAAAATTTTATTACTACAACGTGATGTTTGTCTACGGAAATTTACAGAACATATAGCGATTAAAAATAATGATAATTAACTTGAATAACGGATTGTTAATAGACGATGTATGGAACGTCGTGTATAAAAATAAAAGAACAATGCCATTGATGTCGGAGATTGTACAGTACCTTGGTAAGTTATTTTAATATTTTACATCTTTGTTTAAAAAAAATTCTTAACTGTATGCTACAAAACAATTTAATCGTTTATAGACTAAAGAGGGATGGGCGAAAAGTGTGAACTGCCGGGCTGCAATTTTTAATTATATTTCAAATTTATTTCATTTAAAATATGTTCTCTCCGCCTGAAATTAGCAGTGACTTGTCCCTGTACATCACAATTTCCTTCAGAGACGGCGTAAGGCGTGGGCGACGTGGGCCACCGCCTACGGCCTCGCGATCCGAGGGCCCTCGCGCTTCGAAGGTTTATGCATTACATAAAAGCCACGAATGCAACGAAAAAATTTTACTCGTCATAAAACGATAAATATATTGAATACCAAATTTGTTTTTATTAAGGCTGTGTACACATTAGGCGTTTTGCATTGCGTTAAACGCGCGTTAGCAGCGTACACACCGCGCGTTAGCTAGGCGTTCGACGACCGTTTAGTGGAGCATACGAACTGGCTCAGTTTGGAAATGGGCGTGAAAGTAATTGCTTGTGTGCGCCTCCTCCATCGTCGCTATAAAAGACGATGGCAGAGGCAAAGAGAATTTTGGGTGCACCCAAAATTCTCTTTGCCTCTGCCATCGTCTTTTATAGCGACGATGGAGGAGGCGCACACAAGCAATTACTTTCACGCCCATTTCCAAACTGAGCCAGTTCGTATGCTCCACTAAACGGTCGTCGAACGCCTAGCTAACGCNATGTGCCTGACGTTGTATCCAAAACTAAGACAAAATGAACCCAAGTTTTTTAATTCTTTTAAAATATCTATAAAATCATTTGACGATGGTTGATCTCTTTTAGATTTCACCAATAAATAGATCAGTATCGAAATGATCGTTCTCCATTTCGGCCAACGTACGTCCACTCTACCCGAAAGTGCGCGATCGAATGTACAACAACATGGCAGCACATATATCTCAAAGCGCTCGGCTGACGCCCGCAAAACGCGCGTTTTAACAAAAATCTATCAACGCGCGTTTGACGCGCGCTTGGCCAAAAGCGCGCGTTTGAGTGTGTATACCTATGCAGAACTCTTGGTTCTTTAAAACGCCTAGTGTGTACACAGCCTTAGTCTAGCAACATTTGCTGGAGTTGCGTTGCTATAGCGGGGAATCCTTGTCAGCCAGAGCTGGGGATTTCCCATTGTGTTTGTTTACGTTATTTTCACGATTCTCAACGGCTAGAAACCCAATCAAAGTATCTCAGAAAAGTATCACGTAAATAGTGGAGTTAAAACTCGAATATTAAATACAGTATTAATCTCAGGGCATTTTTTACACTTTGCGGTTGTCATAACTGGAATCTGCTGTCGGTAGATAAACGCAACTAATTCTTCTGTGGCAGCAAAAACAGGTTTTGGTTTTATTCAGAAAATTTATTTGCTATTTTCAAGTTCCAGCAAACATTGAGAAGTAATTAAAGGTAAATTAAAGCTTATTATGAAGACTTTATCAGACACAAGGTGGGAAGGTAGAATCGAGGCACTTGAAGGCCGTATTATTGCAATTAGATGATGTTGTTGAATGCATCGAAAGCTTAAAAAATCAAGCGGAACAACCAGACACACTCAGTGATTGTGATTCGGTTTTAAACGAAATGCTCAGTTTAGAATTTATCATATCATTACATGTGTGGTATGAGATATTATCGCGTGTTAATATCATAAGCAAATTATGGCAATCTGTACAAGTCCATTTAAGCATTACTCTTGAATATTTGCATACATTTTGTGACTAAATCAAAGAATATCGACAAATTGGATTCGAAAAATGCTTGTCTGACGTTCGTCAATTTATTGAGAATAACAGTTATGAACTGCCAAAAGACTTTAAAAATGAAAAGATAGCCAAAAAGAAAAGGATGTTGGATGATAAAGGCAGCGATCAATCTATACAGTCTCCCAAAAGCAGATATGAAACAGATTTTTTTTTAACACCACGATTGAATCTATAATAAGCAATATGGATTCGAGATTTGTCTTTAAATCAACATTTTGAAAATTTTGGTTTTCTCTATGATTTGGTTTTTTAAGCGAGTTAAAAAATATTCCAAAAGAGCAAATATTAAAAAAACCGTCAAGATTTACACTCTGTCCTGGGAGTGGGTGAGAGCAGTGACTTCCAACCTTACGAATTATATGAAGAATTACAAACAATGATCCAAAATTTACCCAACTTCATTAAAGATGTGAAACAGCTGCTCCAATACATAATAGAAAATAACTTGAAAGAAATTTACCCAAATATTTACATTGCCATTCGAATTTTGTAAACAATATCGGTAAGTACTGCCTACCCTGAAAAAAGCTTTTCAAAATTAAAACTAATAAAAAAATTATTTAAAAAATACAATGGGTCAGGAAAGACTTTCAGCTTTCGCAGTTTTATCTATTTAAGCATATTGATAGCATCTAAGCTAAATTACGATACAATTATTAAGGAGTTCAGTAAGGCTAAAAGCAGGACATTTCTGTTTCTTTAACGTTTTTTCTTTTTAATTTTTCTTTAATCTTAGTTAAAGAATATAGTTTGCATTTTTAGGAATAAAAATTTGACAGTTTCGACTGCTTTTTATTTTATAAAATCCGTCTTCTTGCGCCACCAGAAGGCTTCGCGAAATGTATCTTGCCCACATCAAATTTAAGTCTTGCCCCGCGCTGCTTTCCTTTAACAATAGAGTCGTGCCGGTCACCTATCTAACACCTTTCGGGGAAAAATATTTGAACTGAAATAACGCTTTGTTTCAGCCCATTCAGTGCCAGGTAACAAAAAAAAAATTAACCCCTCAGAAAAGAACAACATAGAGGAAATAGAGAGAACTGCTGCTAAAATAATTGTGAATGCTAAAACATCAATGTAAAAAACTTTTGTTTATTTTGTAAATTAAATATTATAACCTATTTATATTAATACCAACTGATGAGAGACTATTTCCAATAGTCCGAAATGCATTTTGGTTATTCATACTTAAGTAATCGATTTTTAATATACACCCAGTCAAAGTCCAAAATAATCACATTTCAAATTCTATTTAAATTTAATTAACTTACGATGTTTCAGAAAAATTCCAAATCACAACGTTTAAGATATTACAATGTAGGTTTCCACACACACACACACACACACAATAAATTAAAGTTGAAATAGTCCACTAATTACCTAATCCTGGTCGAGCTTTAACGAACTTAACTTTCCCGCCTAAACTTCAACCTTTTATATGGATTAATGACAGGATTGATTGACCAGTCAGCTCTTCGTAGCTCTATCGGAGATCCGCTGATGATCCTATGATCCAATGATCCTATACGGCCAATCAGCGATCACGCATTCAAAACCACTGATCGTTTTTCCAATCGACTTCTGTGACGTCGACTAGTTTGAAATAAAACAAAAGGCGGGAATCGTACGTCCAGACGATTCTAATCCCGACACACCCCCTTTTATTTTTTTTTTAAATGTATTGTACTACATCGATACCTGGGTGTTTGTGCTTATTATAACTGGTGTGATAAATCCTTATTATTATCTATCGTACATTAGTAGATATTTAATTGATTTAATTATACCAAGGGCTAAAAGCAATTATTTGTAATAAATATAAAATGATCAATGTAAAGAATAAATGAACATTTAACATGGCATTTACCTTTCTGAAGACTGTTCTTGGCATATGGAAAACGACTAGAAAGGGAGAAAACGCTCGGGTCGACCTTCGTATTTGCAAAATTATCAGACAGGTCACGTGGATACGCTGACGAAAACGGAGACAAATTTTTCGCGAAAAAAATCGACGATAACCGAGGTATTACTGTATTCTTAACCAAGGGATTAAGAATACAGCAATACCTCGGTTAATAATACAGTAATACCTCTACCAATTTTTGGGCGACTTATTTTAATGGCGCATACATTCAAAGATTAATTTAAGAGTTGTCATTCATTCTAATTAGACGATTTTTCTACTTTATCTATATTTAATTCTCTTCTATTATCGTTGCTTATCTAATTTACTTAATGATTACTGTTTGATTAGTCACAAAACATAATAATATCTTCTTTTATCACACTATACAATACAGTCGATCCTCCTATAACACTGTTGATAATTCAGTTTTATATGAGTAAATACGTGAGCCGTTCACAGCCCGGCACACGTATTTGTAAAATCTAAGTGACTCGTACAACATGGAATTCATATAAAACGGAATTATCAACAGTGTTATAGGGGGGTCGACTGTAATATCTTGTTAATCACTTTAAGCATTCGGCTATAATACAGACGAATCAATCGATCGTAATTTATTTATTTATTTGAGAACGAATTTTCATTTATTAGTTCATTATTTTAATTTTTTTATGATAATCTATAATATATTCGAGGGCATTTATTACAAGTGCAAGCACACATATATTTTAGAAAATTGAAATATAAAAGTTATTAACTAATATAATATTAATATATAAGTTAAAATAATATTTATTATTAAATAAATATAAAAGTAATATGAAATAATAGCCTATTTCATATTATTACGAATTTTTTATTTCTTTACTATCTGATATTTAATTAGTTATATGTTATATGTGAAAAAGTCATCTGTTTTTTTTTTTTAGGCAAGATAAACTTATTTTTAATTTAAATTTCTTAATATGAAAATATATTTCGTATCAATCTCAGTAATCACCGGAATTAGCATAGTGACAATGTTTTTGTTACGAAAAAGAAATCGATCCGGTAAGAAATTAGCGAATTTAATCATTCAATTATATTGGCTTCCGCTAACAACTTTTTTAATTAATTAATAGCGAAAAAATGTTCATTGCCGTGGTTAAGAACTTTAATGGTGAGTCATTCTTTGAATCGTATCAAAGAAAATACAGAATCTAATATTTAGAATTAAATTAGTCTTCTAATTTTCTCAATTATTCTCATTAGAATTTCTCCGTAAAGGAAACATTTCGAGAAACCAATTTGACTATTTGTCGAAAGTTTTTCAAAAATTACTTCAGAGGTATAAAATTGCATAAGACGTTTAATAGTTTTAATAAGAATAACTTTCCACGTGAGAAAACAGAGATTTTGAAAACACAAGAACCATCCGTTTACGACGTAACTCCTTTGACCATCGGTAAAAAGAGCATATTTGGCATCGCGCGACCCTTAATTGCCGTTTACCAAAATTCTCGTTATTATCCGAACGGAAACTTTACTCCAAATTCCACGTTTACATGGAAAACTTCGGCTAAAAGCTTTCGAATACAAGCCAAAAGCGATGATATGGAGAAAGACCAAAATCAGTCGATAGTTTTAGATCGATCCCAGAAGGATAATTCTTGGACCACCGTACAATATTTACAATTATCCGACGAGAAAGATAACCGAGAAGATATTAATAAAAAGTAAATATTTATTAATAAATAGATTTTAAAAACTAGATTTTAATGTCGTTATTATTCCAGTCATCTCCATCCAATGTTGAAGAAATTTCAGTTTGTGCGAATCATCGCCAAAGGTTCTTTCGGAGAGGTAAATTTAACATTGTCTTACGCAAGTTTTCAAAGGTTTAACGTCTATACAACTCTCCATCCAATTTTAATTTTCACAAATTCGAATTAATTGACGATTACATAAAATATTACAGGCAACTTTTTAACATGCATTGTGTATCTTAGCTGAAGATAGAAAATTAAATAAGCCATTCGCTTGATTTCAAACATACTTTAATACGATCAGTTTTAAAATTTCATTTATTTACATATATATTTGCGTTTTAACATTCGTTTTGAAGGTTTAAATGAAACCATCAATCTGCTTCATTTCTTTAGCTTCTGTTGTCCTATCCTAAAACCCTCCAGTTATAGGGAGAAACAACTGTTTTAGGATAAAACTTTTTCTGGAGAAACTTGTGGCGCATGGGTAATACTCTAGATTTACTCTAAATATAAGACTACCCGAAACATTACCCTTAGAAATTGAAATTACTCTAGAAACGGCAGCACTGATTCCCTGGCCGCGACATCTCTTTTAAACGGTACACACTAGCCAAATTCTTGAGATCCAAGTTTGAATATCGTTAAGATCACTATAATTTCAATTAACCTAAACATGTTTTCAGGTGGCTCTGGCTAAAGATTCGCTGACGAAAGAGTACGTCGCCATCAAATCGATCAAAAAATTAAAACGTTTGTTGGGATGCATCAAAAGAGAAAATATGGTATTTGCATTAGTCAACTCTTCCTCGCATCCATTTTTAATAAATAAATGGGCTTCTTTTCAGATAAAAGTCAGTACCACGTAAATTAAATTTATATTTTATAAGCGGAAAGTTTCGATAAGGAGCTGTCCATAAATGACCTCCTGACTGGAAGGGAGGGAGAGGATTAAGACGAATAGGACAAAGGGAAGAGGAGGGTTAACTATATTAACTATATACGAATTCCTGATGCAAACCGGAAGTCACATTTATTTCCAATTCAAAAATTTTCCCCGAAAGGTGTTAGATAGATGACTAGTCACGACTATGTTGTTAAAGGAAAAGTATGATATACAGGGGCAAGCCACTATAAATTTAAAGCTATAGTTTTAAATATAAATAAAGTTTCAAGTTTAAATATAAATATAAATATTTTAAATTAAATAAATTT